TGACTCTCAAGATCGCGGTCAAGGGTAATCTCACCCTAGGTCTCATTAATTTCTTCAGGCCTCTATTGAAGACGACGGATCTCCTGCTATATCTCATCCCGAGTAGCATCCGGCATAAATCTCCTTGGTGGCATGGCTAAGGTTTGGGATTTGTGAATGTGAAATTTTTGGTTTATAGTGAATGCTACGATAGAGCTAGGGTTAGGCTAGCTCTGATACCAAACGATACTAGAATTAACCAAACCAGCAATGACGGAAGCAAATTTTATTAAACAAATGACTAGGGTTACAATCACGACTCAAAATAGAAATGAGAACACAACAAATAGAAAAGATCTGGGGACAGCGGTGGTATCGGTGAGGGGTTGCTTATAGAAGTGTGAGAGGGGGTGGAGTAGGTGGTTGGCATTATGGGTTATGGTGGTCAGTGGCTAGAAACAGGGATAGGGCGAAGGAGGAAGGTTGGTGGTTAGATCTAAAGAGGTTGAAGTTGAAGTTCGGTGGCTGGAACAAGGAGAGGCTGACGACAAAATCTTGGAAACCTAGAATGGGTGCAGGTCGGCGGTAAGGTTAGGTAAGGGGGAACGGTTGGCTGATGGCTGGATTTGAAGAGTTGGAATTGGTGCGACCGAGGGTAAGGATAGGGAAGGGGCAATGGGGAAGGGGGAAGGGGGAAGGTTGGATATGGAGGATCGCAAGCTAGAAGTGAGGACAGGCAATGAGGAGAGCAGAGAGGAAAGTTGAGAGGATAACACCACCTTGGAGTAGGAAAAAATCGGAGCGCCACTCTGTCCTTTGATACAACCCCAACAAAAGAAGAAGACTCCAAGCAAAAATTTGAAACAAAACATATGTTGATCACTCCCTAAGTCAATAAACACACATATGTATAGAGGAAGAATAAGTGATGATAGCCAATCAGTCCAACCTGCTGGCCTGCTGGACTGAGACCTATCCTAGCCGGTTTAGTTGGCCATCCACAGGACAGTTCAGCCGGCCTCTGAAGCCCCGTATCAATTTTCTAAATGACAAGAAATAAGGTCTTTCCATAAAATATGCCTATTAAATGACGAAATAAATCATAAAATTATTTATATCAAAAGCATAGAGATCATTGAACTTTGGTTAATCCAAAGGCAGGGAGAAGTCGATAATCTACTTATCTTTCCAAAAGTTGAAAATTTTACCATTGTCGCTCTCACGGTATCATTGAGAAAAAAAAAGGACAAATGGTTATACTAACGTTAATAAAGTTTTATCATCGAGTAGCGTAAGTAACGCGGAGTGGGATCTCGTGGTCCCATGAAGAATCTCGCGCAAGCTGGAGAAGCAACTGTAGTTCCTTTTTTTATTATAGGTTATTTATATTTTAGTCAGTTTCCTCTCCTTTCCTTCCTTTCAAGTTATTTCATATATATGTGTTGTATTAGGATTTTAATTCTTAGTTTTGTTGTGTGTTTGTCCGAGACAGCTGACGATATCTCCGTCTTCCTTTCTAGAGTTGTATTAAGGATCCAATTGCAACTCCGGTTGTATCTCACTCACAAAGTGGTAATTATCTTCCCTAGATCCTTCTACATCCTTCCCACATATCTCCCTACCGCCCTTCCATCCTAGCCACATGGAACAGTTGTTTTAGTTATTTTTTCTTGCAATTTTATGCCTTCCAACTGCCTCCAACCACTTATTTGTTTGTTGTCGCCATCTGAAATTGCAAGGAGTAGTTCCGCACTCTTTGGCTTTCTCAACCACCGCTCCTCCCCTTTCACCTTATTGCTTCTAGAACCTACGCCCATACCCCTTCCCACTTTCTGCAATCTTCGAAAACCTTCACTGACTCATGCCCCCTTGCTGTCAGGACCTCAACCTATACGCCACTTGTTGTTGTTTCTCCAGACCAGCCGCATCTTTACCATCGTCGTTATGGCCATCCCTTCTGCATCGACTCCCACTGTTTGCTTGCCTCCCAGACTACTGCTGCCTTGTTTTTTTTTTTTCTGCTCGAAAACTGCCTCATCCACTCCCCACCAAATTCCAAGCCCTCCCCGACCACCACCACCCCTAGATCCAATCCTAACTGGAGTTAGTGTCAGTATGTTGCTATTTTCCTATTTCAATTTGCGTAGTTGTAATTCCCTCATTGAATTCAGCAAAAATATTTGATTTTTCTTTTGTTTTTTGATTAATTTCACTCCTATTTACCCTCAAACTAATTATTTATTTTGTTATTGTTGTGTTAGCGAAAATTTTTTCTTATATTTTTTTATCGAAAAACAGTCATTGTTTCCAGTTTTCTCGTTTAGAGATATATCCAAAGATCAAACAGTGCTCCGGCTATATCTTGCTCCCAAAGTTTTGATTATCCTTCCCTCCATCCTTCCCACAATTCTCTTTGTTCGCGTCGCCATTCCCTACTATAGCCACTTTGAACATTCAATTTTGGCAGTTTTCTTGCGATTTCACTTTCCTGTCACTTTCCAAAACCAATCTTCCACCCAGTCGTTGCATTCCACATTTGCGTCCTACTTGCTGCTGCCTTCCAACCCCATGTCTGACCTGCAACCCAGACGCCAACCACCAGCCTACTTATCTTCCTCCTACAATCCAATCATCAGCTATCCTACCTTCCTCCACCAAGACCAGGCTTGTCTCCACTGTCCCCAACCAACCCTACCTTGCCACAACCTCCTTCCCCCTCACAGGCTCTATCCAAGGAATAGAAAATCTAATGTTCCTTGCTCTCTCAATCCCTTATGGGTCGTCTTCCTTGCTCTAGCAACCCCCTATGGCCGTCCCTTCCACGAAGCACCTCAACCACCCTTGAATTGAACCACAATTGAGTTTGTATGTCGTGTATGTTGTTATTTTTCATTTTTGTATGTTTAGTTGTTACCTCCTATTTGTTTCACTAATAATATTTATTTTTTACCTACTATTGATTGGTAAACTCTGGTATGATATGGTGTTGACAATTGCCACGGAACTATGTGCGAAAAACAACATACAGTGGTATCTAGGTGCTTCGAGAGAAGAAAAAGATAAATTTTCTGAGTGGTTGCCATTAAGATTTGATCAGTCTGCCATAAATTTCATTCTACAGTTGATTCCTCTAAACATACTTGTTTATTAGATACACTAAGCAATGTACGAAGAGAGTGAGAAGCATGTTACATATTTAGGGGTTCGAGGCTTGACTTGTGAGAATACTCGTCTATATGAAATTCCAACTCTGGTGCCGAAAAAATTAGATATTTATTCATCAGGACGGACTTCGGAAGGACGCATCTGTTTTAGAGTTTATTGAAATGAACATGAGCCAAGATTTTAAAGTGAAACTGCCTCAGACAAGCAAAAAGATTTTGTTATGATGAAATATCTATTCCAGAAACTTCCGAAAAAGAAGACAAAGATCCTCCTACCCAGGGAAAATGACGTAGAGTATCAATTACACAACGCAGCACCCGCATTTCCGCAGGTTTGTAGGGAACCAAATGATTTTTGCATATTTTTCAACCTTTCTTTTTCTTGCCCTAATTTCCAAATTTATGTCCAATTTTCTTAGTTCTAATTAAGATTTCTTCTTAGCATGCACTATTTATATCATGTATTTCTTGTTTATTTAATACTATTTATATGGTTATGCTATTTGATGATGTTTTCTCCCAGTTATCTCTATTGGAGTGATGTATCTTTAGCTATCTTTCAGGCAGTATGTTTGTAATTGATAGTATCAAAGTAGTGATATCTCCCGATCACTCTGAGGCCTCTGTCGTACTCCAACTTGCAGCAAATTGTTGTTCATGGCAGGAAAACTGCTTTTATCAATTCTTGTTCGTTGTACCCTCGTTATAAACATCACCATTTCAACCAACACCCCACCTCAACATCTTTGCCACACTGTTTTGTGTTTATTCTTGTTTATTTCATTCGGGAAAGTCGTTGAACATCGTCTATCCCCCTTCAAATATCACCAATCGACCAAAATTTCAAACCTTGTTATTCCTCTATGTCACCGTCAGACCTACTTCCTAAACAACTTTCAGAAGACATATATCGGTGCAGGGTGGTTTAGGGTTAGAGCTACTGGGTGATGTGGGGATTTTTTTTTATTTTTGGAGAAATTTCTGTAGGATATGTTGAATTTTAGTTTGGTAGCAAGGGAGACAAATCCCTAAAAATTTAGGTTTGTCAGACTTTAATACCAAATAACATTGTTCTATGGCTCCTAAGAAGTATTAAGGAAGTTGATCTAGAGAGAAGGTGGTTGGTGCAAAGCAAGAGAATGATAATATGCATGGCCAATGACATTATGAAGAAGATAGGGGTCATTTGATGGTTGTCTAGCTGGAAAACAGCGAGTCAAATGGCGAAATGGCGAGGAACGTACAATGAGGAGATTACACAACCTATTCCTGAACAAGCTACAAACACAACACTTGTAAAAAGAAGAAGATACAACATTCCTTAGAACTAGAAATCAGATAATACAATCTCCAAAATACACAAAACAAAACTGAAAGTTTCAAAACAGCAAAACACAACATATAAATAGTCTCCGAAGAAAATAACAATAATTTGAAATAAGGAAATAGGAAATAAGGGTCCACAGAACCCGTGACAGCAAAAAAAAAAGGCAAGGAATCCTGTTGAAGTTGTTCCCGGGTCGGAAAGCTACTCAAGTCAATTCCCAAAATCACACCCAAATGTGATTAAGCATTCTGCTTCTCGCATTCGCTTCCCTCACCCAAGTTCGTGTCTTGTGCCCGAATCATCGTCCCACAACAAGACATGCATTTATTTTTTATGCATGTGAATGTAAATGTGTGCCCGCATTCAAAAATATATTTATATTTGCATAAACAAGCATAGAACCTTGCGTGCAAGTATGAACAAATACTACTGCAGAATCATGAACAATCTTTCTAACTTATTATGAAGGCTAAAAAACTGTAAGTTACATATTAAACAATAGATACAGCTTAGTACCAAAAAATATGTACCTTTGTCTATGAGTTTCAGTCCAACTTTTGATTGATATATAGCTCTCATTGATAAAATAATCTTTTCATCTATAATTTCTTCCACTAGCCTTCTTGTCCTTCGATCAAACACCTGCATATTGAAAATTGTACCATAGTTTTGAAAACAAAAACAACTAAATGTTGAATCGGTGAGATATATCTGAACAAAATTTCATATTACAATACAAAATAATCATGGATTTAGAAAATTAACTAAAAATAAACATTGTTTTCCTAACTACGACAACAACAAGCCTTTATCCCACTAAGTAGGGTCGGCTAGATGAATCTTTTTTCTCCATTGCATCCTAATGAGTGTCATACTTTCATTTAAGTCTAATAAATTAATATCATTTTTTATACAATATGCCCAAATCTTTCTAGGTCTATCTTTGGCTTTCTTAACATAAGTCAAATCTAAAACATCCACTTCCCAAACCGGATCATCAGATATTCATTTAATGTAGTCAAACCATCTAAGGCGACTCTAATTTTATCCGCCACTAGAGCTACACCAACGATATCATGGATATATTCATTTCGCATTTTGTCCCCATGTGTAAATCCACTCATCCACCTAAGCATTCTCGTCTCAGCAACACTTAACTTAATATTATGTTTCTCTTTTAAAGGCCAACATTCAACACTATAGAGCATTGCAGGTTTCACCACCATCTTATAAAATTTTCCTTTCAGTCTAAACGGTACTTTTCTATCACACAATAGACCTGGCCTTCCGCCACGACAACCAACCAACTTGAATTCTACTAATAACATCCCCATCTAGATCACCATCAATTTAAGGCCCCGTTTGGGACAACTTAAATGTGCGGCGGCGTTTTTGAAAACACCTTTCTTAACATAAGTCAAATCTAAAACATCCACTTCCCAAACCGGATCATCAGATATTCATTTAATGTAGTCAAACCATCTAAGGCGACTCTAATTTTATCCGCCACTAGAGCTACACCAACGATATCATGGATATATTCATTTCGCATTTTGTCCCCATGTGTAAATCCACTCATCCACCTAAGCATTCTCGTCTCAGCAACACTTAACTTAATATTATGTTTCTCTTTTAAAGGCCAACATTCAACACTATAGAGCATTGCAGGTTTCACCACCATCTTATAAAATTTTCCTTTCAGTCTAAACGGTACTTTTCTATCACACAATAGACCTGGCCTTCCGCCACGGCCCTTCCGCCACGACAACCAACCAACTTGAATTCTACTAATAACATCCCCATCTAGATCACCATCAATTTAAGGCCCCGTTTGGGACAACTTAAATGTGCGGCGGCGTTTTTGAAAACACCGCCGTAGCGTTTGAAAATCACGTCTTTCCTGCGTTTTTGAGAACAGCTTTTTTTATTTATGTTACACGCGGATCGCGGGTATATACCTGAGAACGAAGGGAAATATTTATGTTACACGCGGATCGCGGGTATATACCCGCGATCCGCGTTTTGGTTCCAAAATTCCCTTCGGCTACCCTCCACCCCCCCGCCCCCCCCCCTTCGCCCCCCCCTGGGTCTCTC